CCCTAGCCGCATCGGGAGAGAGAGGTAGCGAGTGGAGAGGAGAGAGAGGGGGGAGGGCACGGCATGGGGGTGTGGGGGGAGGAAGGGGGAGGCCGCAGCTGCTCCGCCCGGGCCGTGTGCTCCGTGCACCGTCGCCATGGCGGCATGGATCGAGAGAGGGAGAGAGAGAGAGAGAGAGAGAGAGAGCAGAGAGGAGGAGGGCGTCGGGGTCGGGGAGAGCCGACGAGGGTTTCGTAGCAGGTTTGAGGCACTGTAGCGAGCGGTGGAGACAACACGAACCGTCGATTGCTGAATCGAACGACCAGGAAAATTCTGGGCGACATGGACACCCTGAGCGGCGACCAAACCTTCCTGCTTTGATATATAGAAATTTCTCACTATAGGTCATTAATGCTTCGTCTCTGGTTTGAGCTATAGTGCAGGACGTCAATGCTTGGACTTCCTTTTGATCACTACAGCATGATTCTTGACCATTATCTCACCTCCGGCCAACTAACATAGAAAACGTATATAAACGTATATTTTTAGATTAGAACTAGCATACGATGCATGTACAGGGTGTGATGCTGGATTTTTAAAAAACAAACGTCCTGTTTTTCGACAGTACCTCAGCCGTCTTTTCAGTGGATGAACAGTGTTTTTCTCTCGTAACAAATCAGTAACAGTATGAGCAGCCAAATTTTGTCGAAACGAACAGGGCTAAAGCATCATTGTGTAGTGTTAGATATCGGCTCCGTTCGTTTGGCTGAAATTTGCTGAAAAACACTGTTCCGACTGAATTGTTGTGAGAGAAAAATATTATTTCGGCTGAAAAAAGAAGTCGAATAAACTGGATTATAAGGTAAGCCGAAAAGAAAGGAGAGAGAGGAGTGCCCAACGGGCCAGCGACGTCGCCGGCTTGCGTCATGTTTTGTCCGACGTGGATGAGAGAGAGCCGCAAAAATGCACTCGCTAGCGACTGTTTCGTCCTATGTCTCACACCACCCCCGAAAACATCAGCTGTCTCTGCTTTCACTGGCCCACTCTCGTTTGCTTTAGGCTATGTTTGGTTGGTCTTTTGGCTTTGGCTTTTGGCCTCAAAAGTCAAAAGCTCAATTAAAGGGGCTGTTTTTGAATGGTGCTTTTTCAGAAGCAGCTGCTTTTCTGTAGTTCATTTTTAAAAGCTGGGTTGACCCTACTTTTGGCTTTTGGCTTTCTGCTTTTTGAAATTGATGGAATAAAAAGCTCTTCCATAGTTATTTCAAGAGAGATAAAGATAAAAGGTATATTTTATACTTGTTTAACCAAACAGCTTTCAGCTTTTCTACAGCTCACAGTCCACAGCAGCTTTTCCACAGCTCACAGCCCACAGCAGCTTTTTCCCACAGTCACAGCTCAACCAAACAGGACCTTAGGTGCGTCAGATCCCTTTGCTTTTTTTATTTTCTTCCGCGCCAGCTCATCCAGCGAAATCGCTGGTGCCGTTGCGGATGGCCCATACAACGGTGGGCCTATACACTGAGGGTTTGTTTAGTCTAAAAAAATTTTCTAAAAAATGTTATAGTAGTCATCACATCGAATCTTGTGATACGTGGACAGAGCATTAAATGTAGATAGAAAAAAAAACTAATTACACAGTTTGGTTAGAAATTACGAGACAAACGTTTTGAGCCTAATTAGTCCATGATTGAATACTAATTGCCAAATAAAAACGAAAGTGTTACAGTAACCAAATTCCTAAAATTCACGAACTAAACACAACCTAAGTGAATATAAGAAATATTAGAAAGTAGAAGGAGGGAGGGATAAAAATAACAATAAATTTTTTTTATAGATAAATAATAACTTAGCTAATAGTCAAACATTTTAGCTTTATTATTGGACTTGCACAGGCTTGAGGCTTGATTCTACCGAAGAAGGCCTTGATGTAGCTCGCGGCTTCGGATATTGGACTGGCTGACTGTAGATGGACAGTACATTTCTAGCAAAGGCATGTGAAACTAATCAAAACCCTCGGGTTTTTTTTCTTGTTTTCGTAATATAAAGATCATACTGGTTTTAGGGAAAAATAGTTTTGAGGCTTAGTGTGGAAGGGTCACTATTAAGATATATTGTGAGATATAATAGTAGAAGTGGTGGATAGTAGTTGTTCCATTTCTTACGTACTTTTGGGTTAGAGTTGTTTCAGGCCCGTACCTAGAATTTTATGGCACTGGAGCGAAACAAAATAAGGCTCCTATGTCTTGACAAATAAAATAACAAAATGTATTTGTATTCCATTATATTATACTATATAATTTTCAGTAATAAAAACTTTTAGGGGCTGTTTGGATCCTTTTATTTGGAGGAATTGAAATCTACTTAATAAATTAGGCTATTTAGGTTGGAATTTGACATTCCACCACTTTTCAAAGTTTACATATAAGTCTATCTCAAATTCATAGGTTGAGAGATGAACATTCCACCACTATACTTTACAACTTATAACACGCTCTTCAACTCGCTCTCCTACGATAGAAATGTAACACATAAGTATCTCTCTCGTATAGCCAACAATAATATATACAAATATAATCCATATACAACCATATTAGCTTAATTAATATGTGTCTAAGTTATGATTATTAAAATAAATTCAATTCTAAGAATCAAACGGGGCCTTATACTCTGTTTAGTATGTTCCTTACTGGTGTTTTATTACTATTATTTTATTACCGGTATTTTATTACTGTTATTTTATTAAAAACTCAAGCCTGTTATTTTATTACTGAAACTTTAATACCCTATTTTCAATTATGCTGTACGTACTGGAAGGCTAAGACTCTGTTTGGAACACAAAAACTTTTGTCTATTTCTAGTTTTTTCCTATAAAGTTGAACTATTTTCTATGAAATTTCTGTATGAATTTTTATAAAATTCTTATATGATTCATGTGAAATTTCGTTCCAAACGTATGTTAATTGTTGTGCTCAGTCTTTGGTGCACAAAGATTTGATAGTAAGCTAGGTCAAAGGCCCATCGCCACCATTTGGCTGGTGTCAATTTTTGCAGAACAACCCGGCTGACGAGTTTGAATCAGACAGAATTCCTTATTAGCGAATACTATGCATGATCGATTTATGAATAGTTCTTTCTGGAATGTTTGGTATGCAAACAGAAAGACAAAGGGAGATGTGTTGAAAACTAACGACCTACTAGCTTATATGTACAAGTACAAGTACCACTGCATTCTGTAAAATATGCATGCATTCAAGAGATTTTCAAGAAAACTTGTAAACTAAAGCCCCTTTGGCACGGCTCATCCAAAACGGTTTCACCGATGAAGCTAAAGCCGGTGAAGCCAGAAAAACTGGTTTTTTCCGGCTTCTAGTTCATTTTAACCCCGGCTTACAAAACGGCTTCACACTACAGTGCCTCGATTTGCGCAAAATAGATGAAGCTGAAGCCGATATAAGCCATACCAAAGAGGCCCTAAATGCATCGCATTGGTGCTAACGTGCTATCTACAGAAACACCACTCAAACCATGAGCGCCAACAATGCCAATGATATTCGAGTCCATGCCACGCTCTTGAAGCCTGAAACGTTCTGCAATGCAGAGCTGACAGCTTATGGGTATTTCCTTTGTCAGTTCTGCAGAGCTGACAGAGCAGGCCACCTATGTAACACGGATACGCCAGGAAGGTGCCGTATCCCATATCTGATACCGATACACGTTCGATACATGATGGATACGTATCGGAAGAGTATCCGTTTTTTTATTAATTTTGCGAATATTGAGTACATCGGCAGATACGTATCTGCCCACCCATTCGATACGGCCTAGCCCAACAAACACTCGCGCACTCCCTTCCTCTATCCCCAACGCTAGCCCCCGACACCCCCTGCACTTCGCGCCGCCTCCAGCGAACATGCGTGTTGATGCCCATCCTGCTCACCGGCTGCCGGCGAAGAGCCTCCGCCCTAGCTCGCCAGCGACGAGCCTCCGCCCCTGCTCGCTGGCCGCCGGCAACGTCTCTGTCCCTGCGACATGGATCCAGGCGTCCAGCGACCTCCCGTGAGTTCATCCCCTTCCCTGTTCTCGATCTACTATATTTCTGCAGTTCATGACTTATTGTTGTTTGATTTCTTTGGTCCACACTTCCTGTTCCTCTGTCCATTCTCGATCTACTCTGTTTTTGCATTTCTTAATTTCTTGTTGATTTTCTTTTGTATATAGTGGATGGCGTCTGGCGTCTCCAAATATGAGTAGATGGCGTCTCCTTTTTCCGTTCTCGATCTACTCGATCTACTCTGCAGCTTGATGTTGTGGAATGTGGATGAGAGTGAAACAAATGAGAAAATAGGGAGTTGATGCGAGCCTGAATGCCATTTATTAATAGTAAAATGAATAATAGAACTTAAGTAGTTAAGTAGACTACAATGTTTTATTGTTATTAGTTTTAATATGCATTATTATCTTTTTAATTTTAAAATAGTGAAACATATCCGCGTATCAGATTTTTTTAGAAAATTGCCGTATCCACGTATCCGCATCCTTCCGATACCGATACGTATATCCGTATCCGTGCTGCATAGCATGCCACACTCTTGAAGTACTCCTACGTGAATACATTGTACGCTCACTGCTGCATCAAATATGCCTCCTGCTACTCCATCAAGTGTGGCGTACTAGTAGGACAATTAGTGTTAACAGCAGGATGGTTCATATATTCGCCATGCATGCAAGATGCAAACTCTATCGAAACAAAAACAATGCCCAAACGTGAAATGGAGCCCCCGGACTCACAGTTGACTGAAACAGGAGAACAACATCTCCTTTGAGAATCTCTGGCTCCTCCAACTCCGTCCAATGCATGGCATCAGTGTGCCGGTACGAATTCCAACACTACCACACCCCAAACTCGCTCACCTGTTTCACACATCACGCCCCTTCGCCCTCCCTCCGAACTCACCACCCCTATAAATCTCCCTCTACATCGCAGCTCCTCGCTTCCAAACCCCTGGCAACACCTTGCAACCATGGCGTCCGCTCGCAGCGCTCATCTCCTCCTCACCATCTCCATTCTGCTGCTCCTACTCTGTCCTCTAACACGCGCATTCCCACTGCCATCACCACCTTCTGCGTCGTCAAACGCCGCCTCCCCGTCGCCGCCTCCTCCGGTGCCGCCGCCGCTACCGCGAGGCCTACCACGGATCATACCGGCGTGGTCGCTGCCCGTGAACCCGTTCACGGCGAAGGCGGCGTTCATCCGGTACTGGAACAGGAAGGTGCGCGGCAACCACCCACACCCGGCCTTCCTCTTTGCCAAGCTGTCACCGCTCTCGGCGCCAGACGCCGCCACGTTCTCTACGCTGGCCTCCGCGGGCAAGCTCGCCTCCCGCATCCGCGACTTCTGTGCCGCGGCGTCCCTGCTCTGCCCGTCCACCCCCGCGGCGTCCTGGTCGGCGGCGGCGTCCACGTCCGTGGATGGTGCCGCCGCCGCCGGAGGCGGCGGCGCTGCCTCCGCCGCGCCGTTCAAGAACTACGAGAGCGGGAACTTCAGCAGCTACGGCAACAGCGGCGGCGGTAGCTCTGACCAGTTCGCGGTCTACTCCAGTGGGAAGAGCGGACCCGTTGACTCGTTCAAACGGAAGGGCTCGCTGGGACTAGGGATGAAAACGGTCGGAAACGGTATTACAATCAGAAATTCAATCTTGAAATTTCCGTACATCGTTCCTGTATTTGTTCGTTGTCAGAAAAAGATTTTCTGTCATTTGGATAAAAGAGAAAAGGATGATTCATCTGCTGGGTATATTCACATTAGAGTTCAATGCAGTGTCCATAAAAGATTTGGTTGGTGGTGTGTAGCTGGTTTGTTTACCTGGGCTGTACTCGTTGCAGATTTTTTGCAGCTGTAGCTGTGGCTGCAGACAGCAAATAAATTTCTACTGCTTCTAGAACAGCTACCATGCAGCTACAGCCTACAGCCGCAGCCTAAAAATGACAGCCAATTAGAGCAAAGTTCAGTATTTGAAGCTGCGCTTCGTAGTCCTCCTAATAGTGTAATTGGTTTTTGTTCGTTGATCAGATATGTCTTTCCCAACGATGACAAGGTAGGGATGAAGCACATCAAGAAGTACATTGAAATGATGATTCATGACGCATGAGAATGTCTCCAGAGCCGTGTTAGTACTTCAGCAGAACCTAACTCCATTTGCAAAGTCGTTTCTCATAGAATTGGAGCCAAAGATCCATTTGGAAGTTTTCTAGGTTAGTCTGCACACCTAGAAGCTGCTCCAATTTGACTCATTGCTTGGCTCGCATTCTATTGTGAAATAATCAGTGATCTTCTATGTCATGATTTCTGATAACTGAAGTAATGAACAGGAGGCTGAGTTGCTTATAAACATCGAGGAGCATGTTCTTGATCCTAAGCATCAGGTGCTCACACATGAGGAGAAGAAAACGCTATTGGAGCAGTACACCTTAAAGGAAACTCAGGTATTGCCACTTATTGACACTTGTTGATTTATGCCCTTTTTTTTCCTTTTCCCTGTTTTGGACATCCTAATGTGGTGTTCCATCCTATAGTCTTTCCAAGCACTCTGTTGTTTCGGAGTCTGTTCTAGATTTCAAGCAGCATGTCTTTATTCAAGGAGGCAAAACACTAAATTTTTAATCTTCGATTAATAGTTTCGATGCTCCCCAATATGCTATATGAACTTATTGACCTTTCTACTATGAGAAACCATTTCCAAATAAATTAAAATGCATGTTTCTGACCAGTACGCTTTTCCTTTGCACATGCCTCCTAATTGTCTGGTAAAAAAAGAGTTGCGCGCATTTATGCTTGTATGGCACCAAACTATGGCTGTGACTGCTCAACAATATTATAAGCATGTTGCCTTTTCTGTGGTCTTCCTGTTTCGAGAAGATTTACTAATTCAAGCCTCCTTTCTTTCATAATGTTTCTTCCTGCTCCTTCTCCCCCTCTTGATTCCTTGCTACGTTGTTACCAGATTAATGTATCTGCATTGTAAGTCATAGGAATATCCATGTCGTAGTTTCAGCCTCTAATGATGATATTTATTGTTCTTTGTTCACATATTAGTTCCGTCACTGCAGAAACATACGGCTCATTATCTAAAAAATGGGAAGATACAGCTGCGCTCAAAGAAATATGTACATATTTAACTGTTGTCATTTATCGATTCTCTTGCAAAATTATAAGTGCTCCTATGTAGCTGCTAACTATAATTAATGAGAATTATAGACTTTACCCAAAATTATTGTTTGCTACAGAGCCTATGAGTTGTCTTGTCCGCATTTACTTCCAGTTGAATTTATGTCTGCTACTTCATTTACTTGCAATCAATTGACTTCTCTCATCAAGATGCAGCCACGAGCCCTCTTTGCTTTATATTTCAAGTACCTGCCTTCCTTGTACAACTTCTCTGTTTTTTTTATTTCCTCACCCATCCATCTATGTTCTTACCGTGTTCGTATAGAAGCTTCTATGTAATACATCCATGGCTTTACAAACAGTGTGTTGCCGCATATACTTTCGTACTGGTCCTAGATAGACAAACAGTGTGCTAACACTTCATGAACTTTAATAATTCTGATTTGTGCCAACATACACTAAATTTTTATCCTTGTCCTTTTATAGAAAAAAAATATCTCTTATGATATGTGCTAACACTTCATGAACTTTGATAATTCTGATTTATGCCAACATACACCAAGTTTTTGTCCTTGTCCTTTTATAGAAAAAAAATTGTCTCTTGTGATCTGTGCTAACACTTCATGAACTTTAATAATTCTGATTTGTGCCAACATACACTAAGTTTTTATCCTTGTCCTTTCATAGAAAAAAAATTGTCTCTTGTGATTTGTGCTAACACTTCATGAACTTTGATAATTCTGATTTGTACCAATGCACATCTCATTTTTTGTTCTTGTCCTTACATAGAAAAAAAATTATTTAATATGATTTGTGCTAACACATTGAAGTTTGTTTTTTGTGATTTGTGCCAGCACACATCAATTTTTTGTCCTCTAAGACAAATAAAATATTCAGTTATACAATTGCAATCACCAACAATGTAATTTGCAGCTACTGGACACTGCAATTTTAGTTCTCAGCATATGCAATTGTAGTTCTGAGAATAATTTAATTTAAGAATATAACATCATGTTCATTAAACAAATTACATAAATTAATTGGCCATTGAATTTGACTGCATCCCTCCTTCTGATTGATAAATTTTGCTTTCCTTCTATTGATTATCTTTGATTACCATGTCCTCAGTGTTTTGTTGCTTGGTGGTCAATGCTATCATTTGATGTTTCCTTCCTCTTTACACAATTGCAATCACCAACAATGTAATTTACAGCTACTGGGCACTGTAATTTTAGTTCTCAGTATATGCAATTGTAGTTCTGAGAATAATTTAATTTAAGAATGTAACATCCTGTTAATTAAACAAATTACATAAATTAATTGGCTATTGAATTTGACTGCATCCCTCCTTCTGATTGATAATTTTTGCTTTTCTTCTATTGATCATCTTTGATTACCATGTCCTCAGTGTTCTGTTGCTTGGTGATCAATGCTATCATTTGATATTTCCTTCCTCTTCTTTTTTTTTGGATTCACTAGGGAGCCTACAAAACATTATTAGTTCATATCAATAAGAATTTTTGCATTTGAATTCAAATTCTATTTGTATGTACTGAAATTCTATTTGTATGTCCTGAAATTTTTTACCTGCACTATCTATGTCATTTGTTTTCTTTTCTGTTGCCACCAGTTTCTTCTTTATTTCTTCTATATGTGTCTTCATTCTGACTGATTTAAGTGGTCTTTCCTTTCTCTGAATTCTTTTTGAATCATCTATTTCAGTCTATGGATCTCTAGCTTGTGCTGCTATAGTTTCTCCTTGCTGGTCATTTTGTGCTTTACCTGTTTGCTGAGCAGATAACATTATATCTAAATTGATTTTCATCTTGTCGAATTCTGCCATAAGGTATTGCATGGCTTCCTCATTTTTTGCTGCTTTTGAATTCAGTATTGTTAACTTCCTAGATAATTTGTTGAATCTTAACAATGAGCTTGTTGCAACTGTTTCTTCTTCTTGTCTTTCAACATATACCTTCATATCCTTTTTTTCTCTACCTGTCTAAGAAGTATTTATCTGAAATTGTGTTGATTTCCTTTTCAATGACTATTTTCAGGATATGAGAGCAGAGTATCCCATCTTTCTTTGAATTTTGCACATATGAGTAAATTCTTCTTCGCCTTACGTTAGGTCAAGTGTTTCTTGTATATCTCTGAACCTATGAACCTCCACGAATCTGGTTACTTTTTTGCCACACCTCAAATGTTTTCCCATCTTTGGTTTTCTGTAGTTCAACCTTGATGTTTGCCTTGAGTTGTAGATGGAACTTTTGAATATATTTCATTTTATAGCTGTTGTACTGCTTTGCTCTATATTCGTAGCCGAATATAAATTTCTTTGGCCTTTTCTGCTTGCTATAGCTGTCCTCTAGCCTTTCTGCTCGATTTATGGTATCAACAATCCGATTGTATTCTTTTAGAAAGCCAATGATACTATAGGTTGGCCCTACATTGTCTTTGAACCTCGCATTTGTTGCCTCACTTCTAGATGTGGTCTGTATGAAAGGGAAGAAGTCATTTTTATAGTAGACCGGGATAAACATTTTCCTCATTTCCCACATTTTGGAAAAGTAATGATTCCCTTGAAGGTTTCTTTCCTCAATCATTCTCTTTCAAAGTCGTTCAAATTCTTTCACTGTTAGACTATTGTTCATTATATCTTTGAAGTCTTCATATAGTCCTTCGTTTGCTGCAAAGACCTTGACATTCTTATTGTAGCATTTGGTCTTTATGTGGAACAAGCAATTTCTGTGCTTTGTGTTTATGAAGACTTGCTCTATTGCTAATTTCATCGTCATGTCTTGGTCTGTGATGATCGTTTGAGGGTGTTTTTCTTCCATTGCTTTAAGGAAAGTTTGAAATACCAACTTAAAAGTGTCCACTGTCTCATCATGCAGAAAAGCACATCCAAAAAGGCAACTTTACCCATGTCCTGTGATTCCAACAAATGGTGCAAAAGGTAAGTTGTATCGGTTGGTCATATATATCGTGTCAAAACTTACACATTCTCTATAATCTGCATAATATTTCATAGAAGAACAGTCTATCCAGAACAAGTTTTTCACTCTCTTGTCCTCATCTAAATCAAACTTGTAAAAGAAAGATGGATCCTCAGTTTGTTTCTTTCTAAAATAATCCAGTACTTGTGTCATATCTGATCCTTTAACTTCTCTGTTCAGCTTTGTCCTATAGTTGCTGATATCTTTCTTTTTTATCGGTAGAGCTGTAAGCCCCCTCTCAGATATGATAGAATAGAAACCATCTTCCTCATCGGGATATTATTATCGTTCAGAATCTTGATAAGTTCTTTTTCTATTTCTGTCATATACTTGTGACCAGAAAATAGTTGATTCCTGTCTCTAGGGCATAGCTCATGATTATGCTCCAAATCAAGAGTTTTAATCTTCCATACACCTCCTTCTTTCACCATCATAACACAAGGATAATCTGACTTCTGCTGAACATTTGTTTTCCTTTTTCTTATCGGTTTCTTTCCAACATCCTTGTCTACTTCAGCTTCTTCTTGCCCTAAAGACTCTGGTTCCTTTTCTTTTTCTTGACGAGTGCATCTTATTGTCACTTTGCCTACCTCATTATTTCTCTTCTTACTTTGAGTTCTTGTCGTATGTGTTATGGAACTTGAAATCTGGCTAGGAACGCATTGAAATTGAAGAAATGGTGAGCATCATCCCTAGTCTTAAATTCCATCGATAGTTGTGGGGTGTACTTGCTGTTGATTGGTGCATTGTTCCCTTCAGATGCTGCAACCTGCTCATTTTTTATGAATTCTTCACTTGCTTCCTCCGTCAGTTCCTGGCTGCCATTTACGTGCTTATTATCATCTGTTATAGCTGATGTAATATCTGAACTTGTTGGTTCTGTTGCTATGATCCTCAAGTCATTTTCTCCCATTGTTAGTTAATCATCTTGATTTTCATGCTGCACCTGTAAATATATTAGCAGGAGTCTTAGTTTTTGAGTAATGTCATTTATAATATAAATAATTTTTTTTTCAGTGTGGACTAAAATAGTTGAAGAGATCATTGTTTATGTACCTCATCAATGTCCATGTTATTGAATATATCAGTTTGCCAATGGTATTATTAAATTTTAGATCTATCATCATTAGCTATGCTTGTTGTTGCTCCATCATAATCAGCGACGATTGTCATTTCTCCATCCTATTTTTGCAAAGATAAGTTTTACTTTGATGCTAGTACATATTTGTATTGCTTATAAATATAATCAAATTGGCTCAGCTGTCTGTATCTACCTCATATGACAACCTTGACTCTGATATTGACCAGTCAGTTTGTGGTCTAAAGATTCCATCCAGATCTTCAAGTCTCATATTCTATTTTATTTGTTTGATAATAAGAATGATTACCATTTATAATATAACACAACTAGTTTGACAAGCATATATAATATAGTTTTACCTCATTCCTGTTATTTCCAAGTATCATCTTTGTTAATGATCCTTGCATCTCTTCATGTTGTTGCACAGTTTATAATGAAGCATTGAAATTAAAGTACTGTTATGCTGAAATTACATTGCACATATGTGTGTAATTTGCATATGTCTGAATTGTAATTTTTGTATACTGTTATTATAAATTTTACCTGCGTATTTCAGTCAGTCTGATTATCTTCCTAAGAGTTCCTGATCTATTCCATCATAAGTTCAGTGTAGCCTACTTGCATCTTCCTAAGTGTAGTCAGTCTGAAATATATTTTAGTCAAAAAATAACCTTCTTATGTTGGCATTTTTTTATTCTAAACAATGATTTTGTTCATCTTTTTGTATCTGTAGGTATTTGAAAGGTCACTGGAACAATTTGTGCCTGCAAATATTTAGTAAGGAGCTGACTGCACTTCCTTAATTGCTTCTTGTGAGTTCATTGATGTTGGATAATCATGACATCTACTTGTTGTGACATACATATTATTCTGCTTCATAAAAAAAAGCAAGCAGCTGAGTACTTATATAGTTTTTTATCAGATTCTTCTTCTTTTCATTGCATCATTGAATTGTGTTTCTTACCTCAAGTAGTTGATCAAACTCGACTAGTGTTTGTATTAGTTGCATAAGGGAAGCAATTGAAACCTACAAGAAAATGAAGAAGCCATTAGTTTTTACTTATTTATTATTTGTGTCAACTGTTTTGAATTAGGAGTAATTTTACATTATTATTGCTTTCTTCTTGGCGAATCTTTTCCTCATAATTCTAAATCTGATATTGTGCCTCTGATATTTCATGCTGCCTTGTTCTTCTTTCTAGATTCATGTTCTATTATAACATCCAGATTTCATATTTTGACAGTTAGAAGGTTTCTCATCATTACATATTCCATGCATCTAACACACACAAGGAGATTGAATTCAAATGATCGGTGTACTAACCTTGGCTGTTGAGGTTTGTGGTTCCTCTTCGATATGATCTTTGCCCCTTTGCCCTGCTTTGCGTGTACAAGTTGCATGAGCCGGATCTTTAAATTGTATATATATATAGTATAATTATATTAGCAGCAAGTACATGTTGCATTATGTCAAATGTGCAATTTCTTTATTTTTGTTCTATAATTTATTTATAATAGAAATATAGCAAATGCATAACAGATATATTTGTAATTTTAGTTGAGGATTAGTTGAGGATTGCTGAGTGGTGTGGCTGTAGAATTACTTTTAGAAAAATTGGCCCAGAAAATTCGATTTGTGTGTGTGTGATCTCTGCTAGCTACATGTGTGTGTGATCTCATGCTCTCTGTGCACGATGCTCTCTGTGTTTCTAACCTTTTAGACCACATCGCAACCCCCAAGTGTTGGATTTGCTCCTTGTGCATAGTTGTATGTCTGCACTTGGCATAGAAAATTATGACCAGCCGCATGCTAGGGCCATTTGTATGTCTGCAAATAATTGGTTGAGGAACTAGGGTGTGATCGAAATAATTGGTTGAACCCCTAAGTGCTGGACCTGCTTCTTATGCACACTGAGCAACCAGGGCCATGCTCTGCTGTTGTAGCAAGCACAAGCAGCAGGCCATCTTTGCCATCCTAAATGTCTTTTCTATAGATCTATATTCTCCTAGTCTTTGATCTGAGTTGCTATTGTTTTTTTCTTTTGCTTTTTCAGAAAGTAGATTCAAAAGATTAGGATATTATCTTTTACTGATGAGGTATGGATCAGTCTTGTAGTGCTTCTTCTTGAAATTTTCTGTTCTTTTTTGCAATCTGATGTCTCCCCCTTTCCCCTGCTCTGCGTGAGCAGAGCAGAGGCTTTCCCCATGCAGCAGATCTGTTTTTGCTTTGCTTTTATCCCAAGTCTTTATATTACTATATATTCATGGTTTTTGGCTTTTATTATGGGCTGCTATTGTTAAATGAGCTAATTTATAATTTTAGTTAATGGGCTGTACTGTTTTACTCTTGAGTTGCACAGAAATTATAAACAGATTTTCTCTACGTGGGTCTTCTTTAAAAATCCATTGTTTTAGAAGCAGCCAACAACCGTGTGCTAGCTTGTGCTAAAACACATGATTTTTGCTATGTTGGAAATCATGTGTTATGTAAGCAACCAACAACCATGTGCTAGCTTATGCTAAAACACATGCTTTTTCCTCCGTTACAAATCGTGTGTTTTGCACTCAGCAAACAACCATGTGCTACCTTTTGCTGAAACACACGGTTGTTGGGTAGACAGACTCACACTATTATATTATAGAAAACGAAAGCGGTCAGTTCAGGATATTTCTATATTTTAGCAATTAAAGAGTAAAAAATGATTGAAAATGGTTGCAAAACTAATTAAAAATGATAAATTTTTATGTTTGGCAAAATTAGGAAACGATATCACGATATAGAAAACGGTATTATAATATTGGTCATCCTTAGCTGGACAGAACGACGACTTCGCCAACTACGAGGAGGGGGGAAACGTCGGCACCTCCAGCTTCAACTCCTACACCACCGGAGCCACCGGCGGAGCCGGGGAGTTCGCCGGGTACGCTGGACAGGCCAACACGGTGGCGGTGACCTTCGCCACCTACGACAACACGGGCAACGGCCGTACGCACGAGTTCACGGCCTACTCGCAGGACGCCAACTCCGGCGTGCAGAGCTTCACTGGCTACGGCAAGACCGCGAACGGCGCAGGCGAGTCCTTCAAGACCTACGGGAACAACTCTAACACCGTCGCGTCCGGCTTCATCAACTACGGCGAGAAGGCCAACGGCTTCAACGACACGTTCGCCTCCTACGGCCTCGACGGGAACGCGCCCCAGAACACGTTCCGGAGCTACGCCTCCGGCAGCAATGCGGGCGTCGACGAGTTCAAGGCGTACAGGGACGAAGCCAACGTCGGCGACGACAGCTTCACGTCGTACGCGAACAACGCCAATGGTGCGGCCGCCGACTTCGACAGCTACGGCAAGTCGACCAACCCTGCGAGCGTGGCGTTCAAGGGGTACGACCAGGGCTCTAACCCCAACCACCGCATCGGCTTCACGCAGTACTCCGGCAAAAACACGACGTTCAACGCCTACTCCAACGAAGGCGTCGAGTTCAAGGAGTACCAGAACATGTCAAAGATGGAGGTGTCCAAGACGGCCGCAACGGCGGTTCCTGGGCACCGGTTGCCCAAGTGGTCGCCGGAGCCAGGGAAGTTCTTCCGGGAGCGGGACCTCATGATGGGCAACCGAATGCCAATGCCGGACATCGCCGACAAGATGCCGCACCGCGCGTTCCTGCCGAGGGACATTGCCACCAAGATCCCGTTCGAGGAGAACGCCGTGTCAGCGCTGTTCGGAGCGCCGCCGGGCACGTCAATGAGGCAGGTGGTGGCGTCGACGGTGGCCGAGTGCGCGCGACCGCCCAGCCAGGGCGAGACGAAGCGGTGCACGACGTCGGCCGAGGACATGCTGGACTTCGCGGTGGAGATGCTGGGCAGCAACATCGCGGTTCGCAGCACGGAGTCCACGGCGGGTAGCGGCAGGTACGTCCGGCTTGGCAAGATCACGGGCATCGCCGGCGGCAGAGTGACGCGGTCCGTGTCGTGCCACCAGAGCCTGTTCCCGTACCTGGTGTACTACTGCCACTCGGTGCCACGGGTCCGGCTGTACGAGGCGGACATCCTGGACGTGGACTCCAACCGGAAGATCAACCATGGCGTGGCCATCTGCCATCTCGAGACGTCGGATTGGAGCCCCAATCACGGGGCGTTCGTCGCGCTCGGTGGAAAACCTGGTCAGATTGAGGTCTGCCACTGGATCTTCGAGGGAGACATGGCTTGGACCCTTGTTGATTGATGTTGATGACACCACAACCGTTACATTTGGCCTGGTGGTTTACCTCCGGTTACTCCTCTCAGTCTCAATTAAAGAAATACCAACCTTTTCTGACTTCTTCTCTATTTAATTTAGAAAAAGGTTTTTTTTGGGGTTGTTGCTACTACAAATATGTACTCCTATGTTGTGACCAAATTGACTTCATCAGTATATAGCACATAAAAAAAAAAAAGAATAGTACGTGAGATCACAGGTGGGTAAAAGTGGTGGTTTGGAAGCACCTTGTGCATGCTAAACTACATTGCAAGTGAATTGTTGTCTTGTTGGCGTACATTGGAACGACCAACTAGGTAGTAGCTTCCAAACTCTGATTAATAAATCAGTAACAATCTAACAGAAGTGTGATCTTGTTTGAACAGCAAGTGATCTATCTCCTACACATGTAACTCGGACTCTTGGTCTTACTTTATCAACATGACACTGGAAAAAAAAATATGAGCCCAACTTCAGCTAAGGAACTTCAATTAATTTATAAACGACTATTCACTCTCCTCTAGTCCGTCATCTATCACGATCTTACACCAATTCGTGCAACCTTCTATTTATCACTATAATGATCCGCCGGGTGATACTATGCAAAGACTTTCTCTACACCATCTCCTTCGTGATCTTCACTGACTGATCCGGCACCCTATGATCAAGTGATTCAGTTCTCTCTCCACTGCTTCTTGATTCTTCACGGTTTCTTCTCTTGATTTCGCACACTTATTGACCCCTTGCATCCCTAGGATCTAAGTGAATACATCTGACACATCTTAGTACATATGTTAGCCTTACTTATTGGGTTGTCATTTTGATCGTCAAAACCACAAAGGAATATGGCATAAAGCCCTACAGTTGTGCAAGAAGATTTGTTTGCATTGTAGCTAGTGACTAATACGACCTTGTTAAAGTAGGTATGTACGAGTAAGAAATTATTAATTTGATGTACTGCTTGATAATTTTTTTAGAAAAATAACGATATGTCACTATTGGTGGTTTTGGCCTGCAAAATTACTAGGGATGAAAACAGGGTAGATTTGTTCGGGTGGAGCCTCCACACACCCGCAACCGAAACCAGAATTTAAAACATAAATCTGTCCTGAACCGCCCCACTACCGACCCTACAAATTACCTCGATAATGACTGGCGAAAAACAACCCACGCAAAAGTATCATGCGTAGTAACTAAGGGGCAAGGAGTACAAACTAGCTGCACCATCTGCCCATGGCACGCACGACCCATCTACATAAGTTAGCTACTCAAGCTGACAAACAAACAGTACACAAGTTTCACACCCAGTTCGAGTAAGAGACGTGCCTACTCCCGCTTCCTCTTCCTCTTCCTCTTCCCCTCTGCTGTTCTTCCTCGTCCTGTCAATAGTTTGTTATTAGTACTTTTTGCGAGTTGATACATACATAGCCTTCTTTTTCATGGTTCAAAACAACATACTGAAAACAGAGTTAGTGGCATTTAGCTCCTAAACCAACCTTTGTGATATGATGGACAGGACTAGTGCTCAAGAATAAGTGGAAATTCTGTAGATTATCAAACTGACCTTTATGGCATGAATCATGTGATTCCAGCTTTTCTTCAACGACAACCTCAGCAGCTGAAAAATCCTGCAATTATCGTCATCTAATGAGATTTACCAAATAGGCCGTACAGGTCTTTGCCCATTAACAAGTCAACAAGTCACATGATTGCTTGACAACATTCCAGCAAAGCTTCATATGACTGGAGATGATCAGTACAATGTTAACAGAACATGCACAGGCATACCACTATGCCCCGCAACTATGCTGTGTAAAGTATTAGTCATAATGGAAACAAAGTACAACAACAAGCATAACATGTAACAAACAGACTACATTTTACTGCACATGGTGGCTGGGTAAGCAGGAACTTCCAACAAGTTTGGGCTAAGCATATATAAGGTGCATATTTAACAGAGTTACTTTTCACAATCTCCCCATGCTGCGCTCAGCATGTCCCACCATCTGTGCTAAAGTTTTATAGGAAGCAAGATTATAAAGGACAACAAAGCAAGCCCAGATATTGTTTTATATAAAAATAACCACATGACAAGATATTTCATCAACGGTTTATTAACATGAAGAATTACGGTTGATTACCCAATTATCCTTCTTAAAAGGCTTACCGAAAGTTAATACTTATAGGAATAATATATTACCCATACCCTTAGACATCAGTGAAGCACCCAACTCATCTTTACCGATTATTATTCAGGGAACTAAGGTGTGGCAACAGGATATTATACATTGTGTAAACCTACAACGATGGATGGTGATATGCACATAATAATAGATAATAAAAAGTAGAGTGCTAAAAATGTTGTGATCAGAGTAAAGGGTGAATCACAAGCCAAAACGAGTATCAGGGTGACAGGGTGTCAAAAGAATATTATACTAAATTAGATTAACTGTTGTTAACTGAAATATTCGAGGTGTAAAATTCAACCTACATTTTCATGAGAAGTCAGATCTGCATTGGATGTAGCTCCTTGATTAACCATTTGTTTACTCGATGATTCTTGCTGGATCTTTTTCTGCTTGTGGCCCCTCTTCATTGGTCCAACACTAGGCATTTCAAGAACTTTGCCACTTCGTAATCTCCTGCCAGTACTGTCTTCCAAGCCTCGAATAGCTCCAAACTTTGGAGTCATCCCTTCAGTTGGTAGTTCTAATGCATCTGTAGTCCCAATGTTCACTGAATCTTTCCCAGATTTTGGAATTCCTGGTTCTCCTAGTTGAGAGAACGTACAGTCAAGGGGAGGAGCAACCATTCCATGCTCACTTGAACAGCTGTGCATATTCTCTTGCTGAATATCAGCATCTTCGTCAGCCTGACCACAACCTACTGTGCTCCTGTAACCTTCATTCACAACTGACGAAATTTTGGATGGTGCCAATATGTTGCCATCTACTTTTGAGTTGGAGCTGATGGAACCTGTACTTTGCCTAACTGAAACAGAGCTGATGGAGCGATTAACTATCTCCGGTTTACTTGCATCTATCTGCGTACTTTCATGCTGATAACTTTCTTGGCCACTATTACATGCTTCTCCAGGTGGTGCCAAAGGTTTCTCAGGCACACCCATTCTGAGGCCATATAATCCCAAAGATGCAGTTATGTTTCCTGCATTATCATCCGGTAAGTTCGAAGGGCTTTGGGTAGTAAGTCCATCTGTGTTGCCACTATACCCTACGGATGAGTAGAAATCATTCTCTGTTAAATCATAATCATATGTGATTTTACTGCTAAAGCTGTCACTTAAGAAGTATGCCATGTAATCTTCAACTGAAGGACTTGGTGGACCAGTAGTAGTTTCTGATGATGATCGTGCATGTTCATTATCCGGCACCATCTTTGGATTAACAAGCCTTTGCCATAGAATTGGAAAGCCAATCCCAAAGGATTCGCACACCTACATAAAGTCATGGATATATATACAGATGAGAATTTGCTGGTCATTTCTTAAGCCAATCAAAGAAATTAAATTACCTAGGATCAGCTAGATGGGTATCTAAAGGATTAAAGCAAAAAAGAATATAACGAACTGGTGCACAGAGCTGTCCATAGTAGCAATGCACCTTCCGAAACTCCAGTCCCTGGAGACCAATCATAGCAATTACCTCTTCAGAAAATCCATTCTCACGTGTTTTGGGAATATTCAAGGGGCCGCCTATCCGTATCTGGTAACCATCCTCGGACTCAATTGTGAGATAAGCATGGCGCTTCACAATGGCAGAAGATCTGAACACTCGGCCTGCCACTTTCATGTTTCCCTTTGAGGACGATGCTCCTTTCCTGTTTGCATAGCACACTACAGCACCGTGAGATCAAATATGGAGTACCAATGGAAATCGTTTGGCATTTCTTTTTTTCTTGCTAACAATTAATTTCTTAAATTGCCAAACAAAAAAAAATCATATTTCCCGATCTACTGAATTTCTGTAATTGAGGACAAGAAAGGGATCAAATTTTCCAAACATTTGGGAGGGTAATTGGGAAAACGAAATCGATAAATGGAACCGCGGAGGAGATGCCTCATTTGCTCGCCCATTTGCGGGGTGAAGGTGGTTCCAGCGACGCGGATCTTGCCCTCCCCGCCCTCCACTCTCTCCAGACACCAATCGACGAGTGTAGTCTAAGAGACGCAGCGAAGGAACACATTAGTCCACCGGAACCCGCAGCGCGCAAAGACGAAAAATGAGAGACAGGGAGGGGGAGAGGCGCGTACGCATTTCCGCGCGATGCGGTGGACGGCCTGGGCGGAGAGCTCCGGGATCCGGGGGATTCCGCCGGTGGAGCCCGGTGCCGGGGTCCTGGGGCTTCCGCCGGTGGAGTCCGGCGCGGGCTGGGACAGCATTCCCGCGAGCGGCGGAGTGGCGGCGGCGCGGGGCAAGAAGGGAGAGGAGACGGCTGCGCCTGTGACTGGGCGGAGTTTTTCATTTATTTTGAAAAAATCCACTACGCGGCGGACGGCCTGGGCGGAGAGCTCCGCCGGGATCCGGGGGCTTCTGCCGGTGGAGCCTGACGCCTGGATCCGGGGGCTTCCGCCGGTGGAGCCCGGCGGGGGCTGGGACGGCATTCCCGCGAGCGGCGAGTGGCGGGTCAAGAAAGGAGAGGAGACGGCTGCGCTGCGCCTGTGACTGGGCGGAGTTTTCCGGGGACGCACGCGTGTGGACTGTGGAGGGCTGGCGGCCGATCCGTTTCCGAGAAGGGAACCGCGGTTTTTCTGTTCGTAAAGATTTTTCTAGACTAAAATAAATTAAATTAGTTATATATTTTTGTTTGAAATTCGCATCGCATGCACCGATTCTAGCGAGGAGTTAGAGCAGTATTCAACGAGGTAAAAGTCTGTTTGATCCTGTATCTAAACTTCAGAGACTTTAACTTATTTTTTATGTCTAAAGCACTAATATGAAATGACAGCTAACCTCTGAAATTTAGAGGAAAGAATCCAAATAAGCCCTAAGTATTTAAAATGTTGGTTACCTGAGTTTGTGGCCCTGCCCCACAAATGATTTTGGTAGCTAGCTCTAGCTAGGAGTGACAATACTCCATCCGTTTTAAAATAAGTGTCGTTCTCATTTCTCAAAGAGTCAAATGTTTTTAACTTTAACAAAAATATATATAAAAAATATTAATATTTATAGTATATAATTAGTATCATTAGATATATCGTTGAATCTATTTTCATAACAAATTTATTTGGATATACAAATGTTGCTAATATTTACTATAAACCTAGTTAAATTTTAAAAAGTTTAACCGACACGGATACCATGACGACATTTATTTTGGGATAGATGTAATATATTATAGTACATTATTAGTATCATAAGATAGGGCATTGTATCTATTTTTATAACAAATTTATTTGGAGATATAAATGTTGCTAATATTTACTATAAATCTAGTTCAATTTTAAAAAAAATTGACCAATACGAATATCATAGCAATACTTATTTTGGAATGGAGGCAGTAGAAAATAGAAGCTGAAGTTTTATAACAGGTTGGCTTTAGTCGACAAATAGCCCATACATGTACGCAATGTGTTGGTGAGCCTCTATCCGTCCCAACAGCTCAACACCGTCACTCGCCCATCTGCCACACCCATCTCACGTTGCTTAAAAAAAACTCTGCTTTCACTTTCCTCCCGAATCGCCGCCATTCCTACACCCATTCTCGAACCCCACTCTCGAATGGACGTTGTGCTCCACAGCGGCGCTCTCCACCGCACCCGCCCGACCACCATCCTTCCTCTTCACCGCGTGAAAGGTCCTAATGGCTAGAGGGGGTGAATAGCCTAATAAAATTCTACAACAACACTTAACAAAATGTGTTAGACAATTTTGCGGCGAAGCGAGTGTTGCGCTAGCCTACTAAAATGCAAGCCACCTACCACAATTCTATTTCGAATAGTGTATGTCCACACAATAACTATGACACTTAGCTAAATTAGTGTGCTCTCAAAGACTAACTAAAGAGCAACACTAATCAAACAAACAAGCTCTCACAACTAGCTACACTAAAGAGCTTGATAACTAGTTTGCGGTAATGTAAGAGTGAGCAAGAGAGTTATACCGCCGTGTAGTGGTAGGAACCAATCAATCACAATAATGAATACCAATGTAGACCAATCACCTCGGAATCAAATGATGAACACAATGATTTTTACCGAGGTTCACTTGCTTGCTTAAAGCAAGCTAGTCCTCGTTATGGCGATTCACTCACTTGGAGGTTCGCGCTGATTGGCATCACTCGCCAAACCCTCAATAGGGTGCCGCACAACCAACACAAGATGAGGATCACACAAGCCACAAGCAATTTACTAGAGTACCTTTTGGCGCTCCGCCGGGGAAAGGTTAAGAACCCCTCACAATCACCACGATCGGAGTTGGAGACAATCACCTCCTCCACTCAACGATCCTTGCTGCTCCAAGCCGTCTAGGTGGCGGCAACCACCAAGGGTAACAAGCGAAATCCGCAGCGAAACACAATCACCAAGTGCCTATAGATGCAATCACTCAAGCAATGCACTTGGATTCACTCCCAATCCCACTATGATGATGAATCAATGATGTAGATGAGTGGGAGTCCTTTAGCTAGGCTCACAAGGTTGCTATATCAATGAAAATATGCAAGAGAGCTCCCTTGAGCCGGCCATGGGGCTATAAATAGAGCCCTAGTGAAATAGAGCCGTTGTACCCCTTCACTGGGCACAACGCGGGGTGACCGGACGCTTCTGGTCGATCGATCGACGGCCAGCCCTCGGCGTCCGGCCACGTCGATTCACGCCACGTGTCCCCGCTTCAAATCTTTGTTAAATCGATTTCAGCGGTGCCTGAAGGTGACCGGACCTTCGATAAAAGACCGGCCGGACGCTGAAGCCCCAGCGTCCGGTCGTTTCGATAAGCTCCCGAGGCATGATTTTTTCGGCCGGACGCGTCGTCCACCTTGACCGGACGAGCCCGGCGTCCGGTGCTCATCTAACCCATTGCCATCGACCGGCAGATCCATAACGCGACCGGACCTTGAGCGATCGGCGTCCGGTGCTACAGATCCGGCGTCCGGTCATTTGGACCGACCTTGACATCATTTCGATCAACTCCATTTCAACTCTTACTTCTTCACCCTTGCTTAAGTGTGCCAACCACCAAGAATTTTGCATCCGGCGCAATAGAAAATAGACATTTCATTTTCCCGAAAGCGCCGAATCCCGCCGAGCAAGCTCGGCGGAAGAGAGAGAGGGACCCAAACCCATCTCAACCCTACAAACACCTTGTGCACATGTGTTAGCATATTTTCACAAATATTTTCAAGGGTGTTAGCACTCCACTAGATCCTAAATGCATATGCAATGAGTTAGAGCATCTAGTGGCACTTTGATAACCGCATTCCGATACGAGTTTCACCCCTCTTAATAGTATGGCTATCAAACCTAAATATGATCACACTCTCTAAGTGTCTTGATCACCAAAATAAAATAGCTCCTACAAGTTATACCTTTGCCTTGAGCTTTTTGTTTTTCTCTTTCTTCTCTTCAAGTTTAAGCCCTTGATCATCTCCATGCTATCACCATTGTCATGTTATGATCTTCATTTGCTTCTCTACTTGAAGTGTGCTACCTATCTCATGATCACTTGATGAACTAGGTTAGCACTTAGGGTTTCATCAATTTACCAAAACCAAACTAGAGCTTTCACCGCACCTGAGTGCTGTCGCCCGGCTTTCTCCCTTTCCACCACGCTCACCATCCGTTGTGGTTTTCGTTCTACATCGCGTCCTCTCGGTCGCTTCTGTCCCTTTCCGGTGGCAACTCGTACCAGTAGCAGTGTCGGTGTTTTATAAACCGGACTAGTAAATTTATATGAATGTCGCGCTTTTCTAGGAAGACAATGGTAGCATCGAAAATACACGAGGATTTATACTGGTTCAAGCCGGAGCCCTACGTCCAGTCTCAGAGATGATCGAGCGCGTGTTCCTCGCTTGAATGCTCTGAAGTTCTTACAATGGGGGTGCAAGAATGGTGGAAGAGGTAGGAGAGCTAGAGCTAGGAGAAGGGCTGTCCGAAGAAAAGCTTCAAGAGCCTGGAGAGAATGGGAATGGATGGATCAGAATGAGAGAGAGTGCCCCAAAAGGAGGCCCTGGCTGCCCTTATATAGAGTTCGGAGTTAGGTTAAAAAAAGGAGGTTCTCCCGACCGAAGGGTAGTGAGCCTGTGGGAGGAGGCCTAGCTAACTTGGCTTACAAGTAACGTTGTCTTATGGTGTACACCTTGGTGTGGCTGTCATCATGGTCTTGTGCCCACGCCGCGGCATGGTGGTATTTGTGGGCACGACGGTGTTTCGCCAGCCGTTCTACGTGCCGTGGTCTTCGTCATTGCCTTCTGATCGTTTGGGGGCACCATACAATAGTAGGTAGCAGCCCTCGGATCGTCGACATCTTGCTGCTTATGGAGTTGGTGGCCACGATCCCGAGCTCCGAGGTCGTGGCTCGTGTTGGTTCGGATGGCCTCTAAGTCAAGGCCATCATCGTGGATCCCATCCCATAGTGGGTGGGATCGTACATATGTCTTGTCGGGCCGTATTTGGACGGTGGTTCTCCATACCTACCGTCACCGCTTGGCGGTGTTGTCTTTTCTCTGCTGCGTGGCGTAGGGATGGCATCTGACCGGACCGAGGTGACCGATGTCACCTCAGTCCTTGTGGGGTCAGTGCGGCATGCCTGCTCCTGCTAGAGTAGGCACACACTTGGCTGGACTCGATCTCTCCTTGTTCCTCCCAAGAGTCGGGACAGTGGTGTGATTGTGAGTCCTTGTACGGTGTGCGGCTGAGGGAGATGGAGGGGTCGTGGCGACCCCCGGCCTTAGCGTTTGGCCCGGTCCGCTTAGCTTAGCTGGGCTACGATCGCTTGGCTTTATGCTAGCTGGCATATCGTGGACCGCCCGAGCGGCTATCTAATCGATGCCTTGAGATACCCGGGGTATCATAACCCCGACAAGCGACGACTAGTAGGCCATCCCTACTGCCTCTCTCTATGTCTCTCCCCCCACCGGAGCGACCCATCGCGTCCTTCTCCACGGAGCCGCGAGCTTTGCACCATGGACAAGCTCTAGACCGGTAAACTCCACACGTCGACGAGCCTCTATTCTCCCCAGCAGCAAGAAGATGTTGCGCTGAAAGCGCATGTTGCAAGCGTATGTTTAAGTGTTTTAGATGTTTCAAAGGTATATTGCAAGTGTTTCATACGGATATTGCAAAAGTAGATTGAGATGTTGCAATGGTTGTACAGGTATACTAAAAGCGCCGGTTCCCAATGTTTCATCTGTGTTTTATAGATGTATATTGCAAGTGTATTTATCTAGATGTTGCATATGTTTCACACATATATTGCAAGTGTTTCATGTGGATGTTGTGTATGTTTGCAATGATTTTCAAATGTTTTTGCAAGTGTTTTGTCTGTCTTTTTTTGTATGTTGCAAGTGTTGCATCTGGATATTTCAAAAGTAGATTGGGTGTTGGACATGAAATACGTATGGAAAGCGGGAGGGGCGCGACCGGTCCCTTCGCAGGCGACGTTCGAG